CCAGTTTGGTTGAAGCGCTGCTTTAGAGTTTCAATGCTGGCTTTGAAGACCTGCTGGTCATTCACACAGGTCTCAGTCTGCTTCTGCCAGTACAGTGGATTATCTGCTGTGACTTTCTTCATCCAGTCCTGTTTGGCTTCTGCCTTCCTGGTGTTGCTGTCATAGTAACTTATCTGAACATCATCAACCATCCCGACAATCACAAACTCTGGGAAGTTTGGGACTTGAGAGGACGCAGTGTAGAAATACTTCAGAGAGTGAGTCACTGTAAGAAAAAGTTCATGTCATGATTTCAGTTTTCAGAATTACAGTTTTATAAATCACTGTTATTATGTTATTTTCCTGCACTGAATCAGGAAGAACAGAACATGAAGACGTCCTAATTGTCTGTTGTGCTGTCAGGAAAAACAAATATACAGCAGCATATAGCAGTATTTGGTTTGCTCAAGAAACATATTTCATTATAGCTTTGTTATATTTCTGATAGTTTGCCATAAAAATGTATTTATTATGAAATTAAATAATAAATAAATAAAATTAAATAATAATAAAATAATAAAATATTAAATGAATGAACTATGCAGTGATGAACCCGACTGTCACTGGTTACAGCAGGTGTCGTGTTTTTTTCTGAATGTGAAGTGAAACTTGGTGGAGACATTTGTTTTTACGCTCCTTTGAAAAATGAAATCACAAACCTTTGACCAAAATGTAAACACTGTGTGTGATTTTTGTTTTATTTTCTATCTTCAACAAATTCTGATATTTGATTAATTCCCTAACAGTTTCTATTCTTAGACCATAAACTGTGACTAGTGACAACTGATTGTTCTTCTTCCTGAGGATATGAAATATAGCTGGTTTTGTTTTCTTTGTTTGGTTTACAACCATATTTCAACCAGCAGGGAAAAAAAATCTGTAAACAACTGGAAAAATTACTTGTGTCAAGCATGAAGTACACGTCTTAACCAACTTACCAAAATGAGAGCTTATTAACATAACATCTGTGGAGTGGTTTAAAAAAAATCTTTTTAATTACTTCAGTCTAAGTGTATGTAAACTTCTGACCAACTCGTGTACATTCAAGTTTCACTCCCAGTATCTTTGTTAACCAGTATTTTATGTAAAACCAAATCTTCTGGCAATCCCAGAAAGTGTGAACAAATATAGCTATGTTAAGTAATAACTTTTAACTTTCAATTGCAAACAGTTATACACTGAATTAAAGAATGACTTTTAAAATGTTTTTCCACTGTGTACTGAATAGGCTTTCAGGAGATATGTGAATTTTTACAATCAAATTATTTTACATTTCAGATTTCTCTGCTAAGCTGCATTTTACAAGCTCTGCACTGGACCAAAAATATTTTGTAAAACTGTCCAGGACATACATATATTTTCTGATAATAGTACAACTATCTCAACAGTATAGCCCAACCAATACTGGATTTTTGAGGCCAATACAGACAATAATAGGGGTGTAATAATGTATTGTGATGTTAAATAAAATGTGACAATATGCAGCATGAAACTAAAAAATGTATGGCAATATCCAGACAAAACTCCCATATAATTTATTTAATGCTAACAAGAGGGAGCAACAGGCCAGATCTGTTGTCTTGACCAAGTTGTTAGCCACACATTACATTAGCCGGATTCTAATCTAACTGCACTGTAAACTACGGAATAAGGGAAATGTCTGAATAAGAACATATTTGAAAACAAGTCTGTGTGAATTTACATACCTAAAAAGAAATGTGTTATTCTGAGTGTACTGAACCAAATTATGAGCTGGTTGTATCGTTACACCCCTAAATATAAACTTTTGAAACTTTAAAAATATGATTTGTCAATGTATATTTTTATATAAATGGATAGCACAAACAAATAAACAAACGTGATCCAGACTCCTTAGTTTTGTTTGATTGTGACCAGGACATATGGCAGGTGGCTATTTGACAGTTTAACATTAAATAGTTCAGTGCTCTCTGCTGGACAAACTCATTGGCACTGTCACATCAAACCAAGAGTTTCATTTCTTTACTGCAAATTCTTGTTACTTACTACCAGTATATACCATAATTACAGTATATCTGCAATAAACAAATATCTGCCAACAGATGGCAGGTTTATCAGTCTAGCTCTGCTGAACAACATGCTGTACATACAGGAAATGTAATAACTATTAGCATGTTGTGATTGGCTCTAACAAACAAAATAAACTATGGAATTCTCTGTGAATTGGCTCAAAATATTTTTGAATATTATATAATATAGGACAATATAAAGGTTAAACAATATGGTGAGATAAACACTTCACTCGGTTGTCACTTAGTATTTACATTTATGGCATTAATGTTGGCTATTTGTCTGTTATGATGGGGGGAAGGTAACATAATAGGAAACATATTAATGAATTATCTTACAGATTTAACTGTTGGAACCATTAGTTGTGATATGCATAAAGTAAGTGTCCTAACCAACTTGCAAAACGAGTTTAACAACAACCTAGGTGTATATAAGCTTCTGGCTTCAACTGTAAATCTGACCTGTGTGTATCGTTAAAAACAAAAATCCAAAACCTGAACAGCAGCATTAACACCATTATGCTTGTTGACACAAGCTGGATGATCTGTAGCGAGGAGACTGTTAAAACATAAATTATAAGCTACCTAAAAATGAAAAGGGCAATAAAATACGTTACATAATGTTTAAAATCACAGTGATTTCAAGCTTAAATTAAAGACTAAGATACATATTATTTCCAGTTTTGTTAAGGCTTTGTGGTTAACCTAATTTTTACAAGCGCAATAGTTTTGGTCAACAAAAGCTTTATTTGTTCAACAGCCCCTTTCAGAAATAGAATAAATACATTTCTTCTTGTCAAACTTTCGACGGTAACTAAGTAAAAACATCAGGATTCGGCGACTTAGCACAAGAGAGACAGAATCTATTATGGTGAACTTCAGATCATTTTTATAATCTACAATGAAGTGACCAACCGAACAGAGAACGCATATGTACGTGCACGAACCCAAGCTGTGTAAAGTCATAAAGCCAGTTTGTGTTTAAAATGTTAACTCACCTGCCGTCGCGGTGTGTAGACCTATTCCCAGGAGAGACAGAAAAATAAAAGTCTTCATGGTGGAAGGTAGGATCTACTTCTTTAATACACAAATAACTAATGTAGTTGTCCGGAGACTGTAACACTGCGTGTGTTTCTTACATTTCCAGCTCCAGCAACCAGTGTTACCAACTCCTCAGTAAGGAAAGTAGCTATTGACTGTCCTAAAAGTCGCTAGAAGTCGTTGAATGACGGCATCGCCTAATTTGCATAATAGTCAGTTTGCATGTAATTGTAATGGACACTGTAGGAGAAAGTGAGTAAAAACACTCTAAATATGTTTAGAACTACAAATGAACTTTCTTCTGTTGATTCTTGGCTTGTTTATTTTTTATTTTGCCATTGAAACAGGCCATCACTTCTCAAAATAACTTCATGACTTCAGTGCTTTGTCTAGAGCCACATTACATAAATCTATTTTGTCCTGTATTGTTAAATGTTAGAATATCAAATTTAATCAAGACTTATGTGGGGTGTAATTACTAGCTCCACGTCCATCCCTCCTCCTTTATCCGGGCTCAGCGGCGGCTTTGCGCATGCGCAATTCATTTGCGGTCTGGACGCGGAGCGGCGTGGGTCTCCCTGCTCTGACTGCTGCGTGAGACTACTGTGGGTGTTTTGGGACCAGGGTGGGGCTTACGGCAGCACCCGCTGTTCGTTGAGGACTGTAGCTGCAGATTGATACGTGCTTTCACGTCAGAGTCTCCAAAACACCAGAAAAAGTCGCTAGATTTGCCGCTAGTCGCTTTTGACAAAAAAAAAGTCACCAAGAGAATTTGGAAAGTGGCCAGATTTTGCGAAAAAGTCGCCAAGTTGGCAACACTGCCACCCACAAGAGCAAAAAGGAAGAAGAGTTAATATCTGAGCCAATAAGAATCCAGTCTGAGTATTACGTCACTAAACTCTGGGTGAAACTGACCAACTGAGGTTATAATCGAAATTGAAAGTACAGTAGAATGTTGGTTTCTTGACTTAGTTCAGATTTGACATGAGTACTGTAATTTATGCTGTTGTCGTATAATATTTGATATGCTAATGTAAACAAATGTGCAGGAATTTATTAATTTATTGGGAGGTAAGAAAATCACGTATGCAGGTTAGATCCTGGATTTTATAGGGTGAAAACGTTAGTTTAAAGCAGATAAGAAACGGTTTCCACTTTTTTCTCAGCAGTGAAGAATTCACAAGCAAACAAAAACTGGAAGGTAGCGTGAAAAATGCAAAACAACATTTGTGAATATTATGTCAAATCAAAGTTACACGTATTAATAATTTTTTTTTTAAACTGTGAAAGGAAAAAGTTCAGCATTTAATAAAATAAAAGTAAAAGTATCAAAATATACTTAAAATATTAAAAATACCAATGTAGAATGCAACATTTTAAATACATGTAAATTATTATATTATTGGATTATAATAATTCATGTATTATTGTGTTTATCACTTTCATGTCACAGCTGGTAAAGGTGGAGCTAATGTCAACTGCCTTATATTCTTCTGAGATCAATAAAGTCTGATGATTATACTGTATTTTGTTTTATTCATCTGATTCTGAAAAGTAACTAATATTATCAAATACATACAATACAAAGTTCAAATAACACATAATGATACTGAAGAACAATATAGTAAGTTGCTGAGTTATTTTCTTGTTAAAGCTACTGTTAAAGTGTTGTTTTGTAATATCTCTGCTTCCTTATTGTCTTGTTTTTGATTCAAACAAAAACTGCACAACTGTTATATCGCTCTTAAATTTTAAAAGAACCAAACAAGTATCCCCATTGTTGTTCAGTTGAGTTAAAACCTTGTGCCATTTTCTCCTACTTGTGGCAGAAAGTGTTGTGTGTTTCAAAGTTTTATCAGCAAATTAATCAAAATAAGAATCTGCTTTATTGCCCAGGTGTGTCGGACACACGAGGAATTTGACTCTGGTACATGATCGGCTCTCATTGTGTATGTACATATCCCCATGCAAGGGGCAAGTAAACAGTAAACCAGCATAAGGCTGTGTATTATAACAAAATAAGCAGTATTAACAAGCAACAAACAGTGCAAACAATGCAAAATAAGCAGTATAAACAGACAGTAAACAATGCAGACAGACAAAGGAATGCTCAATGAAATGAGATAAATAGGAATAAAAATAGAGTACTTAAAACTAGAGACCTGTATGAATCTGTATAATCTGTACAATGTATATTTACAGGTATTGCACTGAGGGTTATTGTCCAGTCATACTGTCATTGGTTAAGTGTTCATCAGAGTGACGGCCTGGGGGAAGAAACTGTCCCTGTTCCTGGTTGTCTTGGTGCACAGTGACCTGTAATGCCGTCCAGAGGAGAGGAGTTCAAACAGATTGTGTCCGGGGTGTGAGGGGTCTGCAGTGATCCTCTGAATTAAATGTTGTTAACACAAAATAAGAAATTAAACCTGAGCAGAGCTTTGACTGCATTGTCAGTTCTGCAAAACACAGCACCCTGTGGTGTTATAAAGTTCCTAAATGAAGGTCACACTCATGCAAACACAGGACATGTGACTGTGCCACACCTCGCCCTCTGAAAACAGTGTGCTTGCCATTTTGTGTCTGCCTTTGTTGTTGTCTTCCTCTCTGACCTGGCAGTCACTGCAGGGCAAACTGGCTGTATATTAGATTCACACACACACACACACAAGCCTAATGATTTCACCCCAGTGTGGATTTCAGGTTTAAAAAGATAGCCTATCCCATATTATCTGCCTTAATAATGTTTTGATTCCGAGCAATTCATTCTTTTACACATAAATGAAACCCTCCAGATTAACAACTTACTTTAATTATTGCAATTCATTCTTTTACACATAAATGAAGATTAACAACTTACTTTAATTATTTGGAACAAACGGAACCTTCCCAGAATACAACTCTTCTCTTCTGTCTTTCTGTCCCTGCTGCTCCTGTTTCTAACAGGAGGCCAACAAACCTGGTTTAAACTACAACTATGGATGAAAACCCTTGATGAAAGCTCCCTCTTCAGGACGCAGTGACAGAGTTAGAGCTCCACGCTGGGCAGAACCAACACATCCCTCTGTGCTGTTTATGGGAAATCACATGTGAGCATGTTAGGTTTCATTTTTGAGTTTATGACACAGAGTCTTGGCATGATTTGCACATTTTGGTGCCCAAACCAGGAAGAGCAGGTTTTGGTTGTTATCTCATTTGTTCCAACCAGGCTATTAAAGCTTCTTGTCCTCCTTGTTTTGCCACCTTCCCCTTGTGTCCAACAAAAGACTTGCTGCAGAGAAATAATAAAAAATGAACATCAGTAAAGTTTCTGACATGTTAGACTGAAAGGTCATTAATAAAGCGCATACAATTGGTTTTAAATCTATAAGAAACAGCAAAAGAGAACAAAAAATAACCAATTTATTGCTTGAAAATTAATTGTACTTATCAAAAAATGTACATGTTAAAAACATAGGGCCTTTAAAACATGCTACCCAAGTACTGCTCTGAATATGATGGTCATGAACTTGTCTTGTATTTTGTTAATTAGAACAAGATGAGAGTGTCTGAAAAAATCTTTTTTATGCAGCGATGATAATGTAGGCTGTTGTGCTAAAAGATACATAAAACCAAAAGCTGTATATGGGAATATACAGGGATTATTCAGAGCTTTTGTTGTTTCTGTTTCTCTTGTCCTCATCTGACCTCCGTCCTCAGGATCCTGTTCCTGACAGTTTGCAGCCTCACATGTCCATGTGATTCTCACTACTGTCTTTTTCTGGATAAAAGGAGTCTTGCTGCGCATAAACCAACATCCTCTAACCAGCTGTAGTTATGATAAAACTCATTTGTAGGACATTTATTTTCAGATGAACAAACCAAGGAAGCAAAAAAGGTACAGAAAGGTTGCGGATCACGTCCAGATCGAGTCCTGGTGGATCATTGCTTGTCAGAGGGCGCCATCTACCTATAGACCTGGAGAACTTCTCATTGTTAATAGTCTTTCCTTTCGAGTTCTATCACAGAGTTAATCTTTGTTTCCTGCCAGTTTTATTTTCACTTATACCTGAAGTCCTACGCTCAGTGTGGTACTTTTATTTTGAAATTATGACCGGAATTGGTATTTTTCCTGTCTAACTTAACAGACTTTGTATGTGAAAGTGAAACTAAAATGATCGTGGACTTGCAGGGGAAAACCACCGAGGTAAACTAACTTTAGTCCGTGTGAAAACAGCAGAGAAGAGGAGCTCAAAGCAGAAGAAACATAATCAACCATGACGGAGTTCTCTACAATTTATAAACTCTCCTTGGTCGCATTAACCTGCTTCATCCGAGGTAGGCAGATATCGGTATCTCTACTTTGCTGCACTGGAAAATACATTAAACTAAACATACATGTATACGTTTATGCACGGTTAATGGTGTATTTACCGTTCTAGCGTTTCCGTTAGGCGCGTTTTGTGTAGTGAAATAACGCTACGTTTCTCAAACCTCGTGAAAAATGTGTGTAGTCGGTGTTAATTTGCCCATACAAATTCCGGCATATGTGGAGAATACTACGTGAGATCCTTTTCACTTAGTAGTCATTTCAGCAAAATCCCATTATAGCAAAACAGCTGCCTATAGTAATCTGGGCTGAAGGTGTGTAAATCAACTCAGACTTTATATTTTGGGATAATCGTAGTGTAACGTTACGTGGGTTTTTGTGAGCCACATACATGCCGAATTATCACGAGAACCTGTGGCGTGGTTAAAACGTCTGACTGTCTTAAAATTGTGTAAAATTAACGTTACCTTTGACAGGTAGGACTTTAAAATTGCTGGTTTTTTTTCTAAACGGAGTTTGGTGCAGAGGGCTGTGGAGTAGTCCAGAGTCGCCATCTGGTGGCTGAAGCTGTCATTACACCTCAGCCAAAGACCGTCAGCAGTGAAAACTGCCCTTTAGCGTCTTCACAATAGTTTAATCAACATATTTAAAACAAACAAAAAATGCAGGCAACAAAAAATGTATTTAAATTTAGACTGAACCTTCTGAGAAATCTTCTTCGAGGTCCAAACTGACATGAAAAATCAGGGTGGAAATGCTTGAGAGAAAAAGCCACAACTTTT